CACACGCAGAGGTTTTGGCTGTAGTGGGCATGGCCAACTCTGAAGCCAGCTGGAACTTCGTTCCTTTGCGTTCCTGCCCAAAAATAGCCCTGACTGTTACTTTGTTTATCTCAGGTGCGCATCACGTCTGCTCCCCATGATGTTTTAAAGGTCACGTGCACACACGCACGCACGCACGCACACACACAGAGAGCCCAGCAACGGATGTCACTGTGATACCTCTTCGGTCCACTAAAAACCACAAGACAGAAAACGAAAGAAAAATCGTTCGACAAAAGAAAAAGATGCCATCTTTCCGGAACGAAAGCTTTATTTGTGAAACCAATTTGGTTACAAGAAAACAAAGGGAGGAAATCTCGCACCAAACTGTTGGGTTTTTTTTGTAGCAATCTCCAATCTTTGCCCAATCCTAATTCGTCAATCTAAGCAGTAGTAGAAGTTATGTTTTTAACACAAGCCATGCGTTGCATAAACAAGTACTCGGGGAGACTTTATCTTATTTCAGTGGTACACTTACAAGAAGCCTTACATTCCTCCTTTAGATCTGGGTGGTTGCATCCCCATTGCTTTGTTAAGGGATCACAGTTGCTGTATTGGTTATTGTGTAGACAGGGATTAGCTGAAAATGGGGGAAAAAAAAATAAAACCACACAGTGTGTTGTATGTATCAGATGATGAAAAAAACAACAAAATACCCTAATATAGGCCCTTCTGGTGCACATTCAGACTGGTTTCCTTTCAATTGCCCAGGGGCCAGACAAGAGCCTTAGATGGACGAATTCTGGCCTGCGAGCTGTCTGTTTGACATGTCTGTTTTAGAAGAACATGGCTGCCTTCCTCTTGGCTCTTTTTGTAGCAGGAACTCCTTTGCATATTAGGCGACACACCAGCCAATGTAGCCAGTCCTCCAAGAGCTTACAGTAGCCCCCTACAAGAAGAGCTCTGCAAGCTCTTGGAGGATTGGGTACATTAGGGGTGTGTCGCCTAATATGCAAAGGAGTTCCTGCTACAAAAAGAGGCCTGATAATTTGCCAGCCTCCAGGTGGGGCCTGGGGATCGCCTGGAATTACAGCTCATCTCCAGATTACAGAGATCAGTTCCCCTGGGGAAAACAGATGCTTTGGAGGGTGGACTCTGTGGCATCCTATCCTAACTGAGGTCCGTGTCCTCCCCAGGCTCCATCCCCAAATTTATTTATTTATTTATTTTTATTAGGTTTATATACCGCCCTCCCCAATGGGCTCAGGGCGGCGTACAACAGTTAAATATACAATTGAAACAATATTAAAACGACAAATCACACACAAAATGATAAAAATACCGTATAATGATAAAAGCTGTCGGACGACTAGTCAGGATAGGCCTGATGGACAATTGGCCTCCACTTTCTGATAGCCCTGAAGTGGGGGGAGGGGCTCCAAACCAATGGATGCCCCATCCCCAACGGGAGATTGACTACCCTACATAAATGTCAGTTTGTCGGGCTGGGCCATGCATGCCATAAAATGTAACGCCAGAGACCGACGATCAGGGGTCATTTGGGGGGGGGGACGCGGGGGGACGCCATCCCCCTGGGTGAGGTGCGGGAGGGCGGGGCCTGGAGCTCCCTGCTGGTGCCCGCTGGAGGTCGCCGCCGGCTGTGGGGAGGACACGCTTCCGGTGATGTCAGGGGGTGTGGCATATGCTAATGAGTTATGCTAATGAGTCCCCCTAGCTCTTTTTCTACGAAATGACCCCTGCCGACGATGTAAACGTTATAAAGAACACAGGCAAACCTGATTAACTATAGTATTGTTTTACTCAAAATACAAAGAGAAGTAGTTGATTCCTAGCAGTGAGAGGAATTGATTTAGTGGGGAGCCGGCAAAAGCCCGCCTCTCCCAGATCTCCCCTAACCCAGATCTTAACCCTCCTGCGTTTCCCACAGAAATGGTGGGGCTGAGGGGAAGGCCTGACAGAGAGGCTGTTTCCACAACAGCCCAAGGACCATATGTTTCTTACCCCTGATTTAGGGTGTTCTGGGCAGCCAAACTAAAGTAGAAAGGGTTCCTTGAAGGTAAAGTTTGAAACCTACTGAACCATCGTAACAGAGATTACTTTAGTTTAGGCTTGTCAGTGCTCACGTCCAGAGGGTGAAGCCCCACCACTGTGCTATCAATTCTTATACCACTTACATTTTTCATTGAGAGTAGGGCTGCCAAGTGTGGGCGGGGGGCGGGGAAACCCCTGCTTTGAAGGCCCAATTTCCGCCGCGGTGGAATCGGGCCCCGGGGGAACTCCGCCCCCCAAGCAGCCATGTTGCTCACATTGGGGGCGTGGCCCAGATCGTCGGGGGGGAACCATATGGTTCCCCTCCCGACGATCTGGGCCATGCCCCCAACGTGAATCTTATTTTCGGCGAAACAGGGTATTTTAGCTTGGTTTTAATTGCTTTAATGACGTGGTTTTTTTTGTGTTTAACAGTTTTTGATGGCCCTAATCAGGACAGAAGGTGGGGTATACATTTTTGTAAACAAACAAACTAGGGATGGACATGAACCAGGAAAATGCAGTTTGGTTTGTGGCTGAACCAATTTGTGGTTCGTAGTCATGCAAACCCCATTGAAAGGGACTGCAGACCCTTTAAACAGGGTTTGTGGAAAGCCCCCCCAAAAGCTGCATGTGGGGGAAGTAGCTTACCCCCCCCCCGCTGAGCTTCTTTGGATTGTCTTGTTCACTCCCCTTAAAATTTAAAGGGACTCCAAAACAGCCCCCAAAACAGCTGCGCAGGGGAGGTGCTCCCAACCGGACAGCTATTTTTCAGGCTGTCTTCTGTAGTCCCTTTGAAGTTTAAAGGGACTGCACAACACAGCCCGAAACAGCTGTGCAGCATTTTTCTACGCTGTCTTCTACAGTCCTTTTAAAGTTTAAATGGACTGTGCAAGAAAGCCTGAAACAGCTGAATTGTGAGGGTAAGCCTCCCCCCACTCAGCTGTTTTTGCGGCTTTTGTGGCAAACAGACAATAGCGGTTTAAAGGGACTTGGAGTCCCTTTGGAGTCCCCTGACCTTGGAGTCCCTTTAAACCCTTGCTTTCTACTCCATCCATGATCTACCACGAACTGCACAAACTGCTCTAAAAGTTCATGGAAATTTGTACCGGTGGACCCATCACAATCTTCTGTTCCCGAGGCAAGAAAAGGGCAAAATTTGTGATGAATTTTGCTTTGTGGTTCAGTTTGTGCCCATCCCTAAAACAAACCCTCCAGAACAGCTTTTGAAGGGGCAAAGAGGAGATGCAGGAGAAAGGGATAGAGATCCTTTATGTGAACTTCCTTTCACTGTTCTTAGGGTCCAACCCATTAGCCAGTATTTTATAAGGACAGGGTTTGGGTTTTTCTATTTAGGGTTGGTTGGAAAAAATTCCTAATATGTTAATCCCCTTGCACTGAAAAAGGATAACATTTTCAAACTTACTGCACAATCCTTGATCACAGTGATCTGGACAGTCCGCACATGGAGTTCCTTTTTTATAGGGAGTCTCACGTTTACCATCCACGTTCCCTCTGGAATGTTAAAAGGAAAATTTGGAATGCTAAATAAGCAGTGTATATACATAACGGAATACAAGTCAAGGACTATTGAGAGAGGACTTTGGACACAAAGAGTATTGAGAGATTACCTTAAATATATGATCAAGGGCTATTGAGATAGGACCTTGAACCTGAGGATTATTGAGGACTACCTTAAATACAAGACCAAGGACTATTGAGACAGGACCTTGAACCTGAGGACTACCTTAAACACAAGGAAAAAGACTATTGAGATAAGTCTTTGAACCTGAGGACTATTGCGGACCAGTGTTTCCTCTAAGCTGAGTTAGTGTGAGCTAGCTCACAGTTTTTTGACCTCTGGCTCACACATTTTTGTCTTAGCTCAGGAAGGAGGGCTCCAGAACAAACTAATCCATGCAGTAGCCAAATCGCTCACTCCCAACTTTAATGCCAGTAGCTCACAAAGTAGAGTTTTTGCTCACAGGACTCCACAGCTTAGAGGGAGCATTGTTGAGGGCTACCTTAAACACAAGATCAAGGACTATTGAGACGGGACGTTGAACCTGAGGACTATTGAAAGATGACCTTAGTAAATTGCTCCATTTGATTTAGGTTTTTTTGGGGAGGGCCTTGATAGGAACTTGAACTTCCATAACAAGGGAGTGGCTTGGATGTGTCCAGACTGGGGGGAGTGTAGGAGAAGAAATCAAGAGGGAACTCTGGCAACTCTGCTTTTGCCCGGGGTGAGATAGTCAAAGCAGGCAATACCACAGCAGAACCTGATGGATCCTGGGAAGAACCTGGAGCTATCTGGAAGGTCAGGAGTACGTCTGGGGAGGAAATTTGGCAGCTATCAGGCAGTATCTGTTGAGACAGGTGGGGTTTGGCAGAGTCTGGCTTTCTCGACAAGGCATGGTGAGGCCTGAAAACCACAGCATGGAGGGAAATCCTAACATGAAATATACGTGTATCAAACAATGATAGTCTCAATTAGTAGTCATTTCTTCTGTTAATACATACGCAGGGCTGTATTGACAAACGAAGAAATACTTGAGCTTTCCTTGGTTAGGACAGTAGGCCACACCACATCCCATCTCATAAGTTGTAGCCCAAACAACCTGCAGGTAAGAAAGAAAGAAACAAACAAACAAACCTCTTTGGTTTCATTGCAAAAGTCCTTTCCACACACTCACATTTGTTTTTCATAGGTCCCGATCACACGCAGAATTAGCCGCACGATAGGGCCGAATGCCAGGCGGATTTTATGGGCGTGATCATACGGGAACATCTGGCAAGTGTCCCGCGCCCGTCGGCAACCCATATTGCCCCATCAAAGATGCGGAGTAAAAGGATACCCGGGAAAGTGTAGTATTTTTCGGAAAACGTGCGGCGCGGTCAGGCATCTGATTGCGGAAGCGCTGGTATCCCATCACATCCGATGCCTGTCTGTGCCCCACCGGATCTTTTTTTTACACCTCTGTGGTATGCGCGCAAATGCGAAACTGCGCCTCCGCACAAACGCATTACTGCTGACCCGCCTCGCCCTTCTTTGCTGCACTTCACCATCAACGTGTGATTGGCGGCTGATGGCCTGAGCACGGAGCCTCGGGGGAACGTCTAATTGCGATACCACACTTTGTTTTGCTCCGGAGAAAAAAGCCTCGCTCCCCCCCCCCCGGATTAGCTCACTCGTGTGACAGGGGCCATATTGTCACATAGAATCCTAGCATCCCTTTCCCAAGGTTGGCCTTCTGTGCGTAGAGATCTTGCCTTTTTCTAGGAGTCAGATGGAGATGTTTCATTGCACCTGGTAAAACGAGACACTTCCCTTTAGTGGGTTTGTTGCTGGGTGTGACCCAGGGGTCGTTTCGTAGAAAAAGAGCTAGGGGAACTCATTAGCATATCTCATTAGCATATGCTACACACCCTGCCATCACCGGAAGTGTGTCATAAGGCCACACCCACCACTCAGTTAGTCTTAGTCTTAAAGGTTAGTCTTAAAGGTGCTATTTGTTAGTCTTAAAGGTGCGGGAGTGCGAGGAAGCCCTGCGAAGGCCCCCCGTCCCCAACAGTCCCGGCCGCTGGCGGCCTTGCGGCTCCACTGCCGAGCCCCATCAGGGGCCCAGCGGTGGACCTGCAAGGCCGGCAGGAGTGCGAGGAAGCCCCGCCAAGGCCCTCCCTGGCCCCAGGCAGGCAGGAGTGGGGAAAGGCGGGGAGGAAGCAACTTACCCTCCCTTTTCTCCTGCCTCCTCCTGGCTGAATGAGGGCCGGAAGTGGGGCGGCAGAAAGCAGGGGGCAGGGCTTCGTCATGTGCCCCGCCCGTGTAGGATTAGAGACCTCCTTGACATCCTAGAGAGTTGCCTTGAATTTCATGGATGGAAGAAACATGGGTATAAAAGTCCTTGAGAGGCAGCGTGGTGCAGTGGTTAGAGTGTTGGGCTAAGATCTGAGAGACCCAGGTTCGAATCTCCACCCTGCCACGGAAGCTTGCTGGTTGACCTTAGGCCAGTCACACTAACACAAATTAACCTACCTCAAAGGGGTGGTTGAGAGGATAAAATGGAGGAGAGGAGAATGAGAGGGGAGGGTAGAGCCTCTGCTTGGCATGCAGAAGGTCCCGACTTATGTTGACCTCAGCCAAGCGGCTTTCAAGGCAAGCGAGAAGCAGAGGTGGCTTGCCATTGCCTTCCTCTGCAGAGCCTTCCTTGGTGGCCCCCCATCTAAGAACTGGCCCTGCTTAGCTACCAAGATCTGATGAGATCGGCCTGTACCATGGCACTTCCCTCCTTTACATATGTGTCGGTATGTAAGTGCCATCAAGTCTCAACTAACTTGTGGCGACCCCAGCAAGGGGCTTTCAAGGCAAGTGAGAAGCAGAGGTGGTTGGCCATTGCCTGCCTCTGCAGAGCCTTCCTTGGTGGTCTCCCATCCAAGTACCGATTTATGGCAACCCCAGCAAGGGGCTTTCAAGGCAAGTGAGAAGCAGAGGCGGTTGGCCATTGCCTGCCTCTGCAGAGCCTTCCTTGGTGGTCTTTACTACCCAAAGGAGTCTCAGAGAGGGTTACAATCTCCTTCCCCTTCCCCTCTCCACAACAGACACTCTGTGAGGTAGATGGGGCTAAGAGAGCTCTCTCGAGGACTGCCCTTGAGAGAACAGCTCTGAAAGAACTTGTGACTGACCCAAGGTAATGCCAGTAGCTGCATATTGAGGAGTGGAGAATCAAACCCGGTTCTCCCAGGTTAGAGTCCATCGCTCTTAACCAAAATTTGTCAGCCAGCAAACACCTCCTTAAGTGACGAGAACGATCGAGAATTCCCCATGCGCATATTTTGAATGTTCGGCTTGAATTTTGAGGTCACGGTTCGTATTTCTAGCCACAAAGTCTTGAGTTTTGCTTTCAAGGAGCTATCCACTTCTGTCGCAGCAAGGAAAAGCGGAGGTCCTGCGGCACTTTAAAGATTAACCAATTTTTTTCCCAGGATAAAGGTGAATCCATGGAAGCCTCCTGCTCATTTTGAAACATTTTTTAAAAAATGTTTTGAATGCTTTCCTTGGCTTCATCCTTCTTATGAGAACCAAGGAAACCGAGGCCATTATTTCGATATTTTCTTCCAGTTGCTTTCACGGGGAGGAGAAAATGGCCATGGGAAAGTGTACTGCCCCCCAGAGAAGAAAAGGAGGAAGATAGTGTCCTGTTGGCTCCATGCCACAGGGGGCTCTCGCAGGGCTCTTTTTGTAGCAGGAACTCCTTTGCATATTAGGCGACACAACCCCTAATGTAGCCAGTCCTCCAAGAGCTTACAGTAGCCCCTGTAAGAAGAGCTCTGTAGGCTCCTGGAAGATTGGCTACATTAGGGGTGTGTAGCCCAGGGGTCATTTCCTGCAGGAGCGCACAGGAGTGGAGCTCCGGCAGTAAAGAGCCCAGGGGGCGGGCACATGTAACAAACCCCACCCCCTGCTCCCAGCAGCCCTCAGTCAGAGCAAGAAGCAGCCAGGTAAGTTGCAGAGCTCCCCCGGTCCCCCAGTCCAAAACAGTCCAGTGGCACTTTTAAGACCAAGTTTTATTCAGGTACAAGCTCTGCATGTCCCCGTCCCCCCCAATAGCTAGCAATCCAAAACTGTCCAGTGGAGCCTGAGCGGTGGCCGTTGCCTTCTGACACACTTCTGGTGATGTCAGGGGGTGTGGCATATGCAAATAAGTTATGCTAGTGAGCTCCTGCACCTCTTTTTCTACGAAATGACCCCTGGTGTAGCCTAATATGCAAAGGAGTCCCTGCTACAAAAACTGCCCCCCTTCTCATCACTGAGCTGGCCCAGCCCAGGTAAGAGAGGATAGGTGGCCATCAGCCTACTGGGAGAAGTCTCTGTGCCCATAATGGTCAATCTGACCCTGGACACTCTGTTGTCACAAATGAGACTTCAGCGTGCTACATGGTCCATTTAGGCCAACTAAGGCTGTGGTCAGATGTGCCTTTACACCTGACTTAGCTGTGAATGCCAGACAGATCTAAAGTGCACAATCAGACCGCAGCATCTGGGATAGTTCCCGCAGTCGTCGGCAACTCATGTTGCCCCGCCAGAGAAACGGAGTTAAAAGACACTGGGGAAAGTCCTAACACTTGCCAACAGGTCACGGATGGATTTCCCCTAGTCTGATCACTCAAGTGCACACTCAGGCCATTGGGATGGATTGCTCAGTCCATCTCGACTCAGCGCCATTCTCTACCCCCCCCCTTCTTTAACAGCCACTCCACCGGTCCATGGAGAACTCTTCATGCAGGGGTTCGATTCCTTGTTTATGCACATGTGCACAAGAGGCAAAAAACCCCCCCCCCACGCGCCTGAATGTGCCATCTGATCGCGCAGTGATGGGCTGCACCTGAGCGAAATGAATTATACTGGGATGTGTGACTGAGCAACTCCGGGCCAAATACCAATGGATGAAACAGGAGTGCTTCCTGACCATGCCAAATGGCATGTCTGACCACAGCCTAAAGTCTGTAAAGTTTGGTAAAATCTTAGTCAAACCCTGTTAGGGAAATGTACAGCAATGTTGTACCTGGGTGTAATGGCCAACCATTGCACCTTTTGGGGATGCTCCAACACCATACACAAAGTCTTTTTTTTCATTATACCAAGACTCGCATACATAAGACCACGGGAAGATTGTGCTTGACATAAAGAGGTTTTCACCACAGTTTCTGCCATCTGCAAATGGAAAGAGAATTATTTCACAAAAACATCCAAGCAGGAGTGCACAGGAGTGGAGCTCCGGCAGTAAAGAGCCCAGGGGGCGGGCACATGCAACAAGCCCCACCCTCTGCTCCCAACAGTCCTCAGTCAGAGTAAGAAGCAGCCAGGTAAGTTGCAGAACTCCCCCCCTGGCCCTCCAGTCCAAAACAGTCCAGTGGCATCTTTAAGACCAAGTTTTATTCAGGTACAAGCTCTCCCTCCTCTGCGAGGGCAGATCTGCACGTTCCCCCCCCCCCAATAGCTAGCAATCCAAAACAGTCCAGTGGAGCCTGAGCGGTGGGTGTTGCCTTCTGACACACTTCCGGCGATGTCAGGGGGTATGTGGCATATGCAAATCAGTTATGCTAATGAGTTATGCTAATGAGCGCCTGCACCACTTTTTCCGTGAAATGACCCCTGCACATGAACAAATATGAACACACACATGAAGTGGCCTCATGCTGAATGAGAGCATCGGTCCACCCAAGACCATTTATGTAGTAGTGAAATTCCCCGCACTGACTTTTAAAAACTGCATGTTATGTGAAACTTTCTGTAGTAGATTTTTCCTCCCCGGGCGCAAACTCAAAGTTTCCTCCTTCTTACCCCGCATTTTCAGAACTCGCTAAAACTGGGGATTCCGAAAATGTGGGGTAGGGAGAAAACTTCGGGTTAGCACCTGGTGAGGGAAAATTTACTGCGGAAAAATGTCACATAACATGCAGTTTTTAAACTGTCAGTTTGGGGGAATTTCTCTACTGTGGAATTGGTCCAAGTCAGTATTGTCTACTCAGACTGGCAGCAGCTCTCCAGGGTCTCAGGGGGAGGTCTCTTACATCATCTACTACCAGATCCTTAGATTGGAGGTGCTGGGGACTGAGCTTGATGTCGCCCGGTTGAGGAACATCACTCCTGGCGCTCACGCTACTACAACACCGGCCGCCAATGAGGGACACTGTGCATCTTGGGAAATTTAGTGAACTATAGAGCACCATTTTAGCTTGTATGTATTAATGTTTTAATGTTTTAATGTATTTTATATTTTATTCCGGCATTGCTGCTTGTTCGCCACCCTGGGCCGCTTGGGTAGGGCGGGATATAAATCCCAAGTAAATAAAATAAAATAAAATAAACTTGGGGCCTTTTACACACCAGACAGATGCTCTACCAATGACCCACAAGGTCTCTGATGTTATCCGCACAAATGGCCCTCCTCGCTCTTGTCTTTCTATTCCTCCGCCTTTTCAGCTGGTTTCCGCAATGGCATTTGCAGTCCAAGATGCAAAAACGAGGTTTGTCTTTCCTTGTGGTGCAGCGTCAGACTGGGAATTCCGTCGCTGTGCCACAAGAGGGAGCAAACCTCGTCTTTGCATCTCAGACTGCAAATGCCATTGTAGAAACCAGCCGAGAGGCAGACGAATAGAAATGCAAGAGTGGGGAGAGCTGTTTTTGCGGAAAATATCTCTGCTAGGCTCCTTTTTTCATTATGGGGGATGAAGTTGTACTATATTTACTTAAGAAGGCTCCCTGCATATCCCCCTTTTTAATCAACTTTTTAATTAGTTTTCTTTCTTACACATGTATATTATCCATCGTTTGATGATTTACATTTGAGTCTGATTTTTAACATTCTTATCTATCCATTTGTAAAGTCTCGACCATTTTTTTCTGGAAACAATCTTCTCCTTTCCCCTGAATCAACAGGCTCAATTTGTCCATTTCTGCTAAATTCAACAATTTTAAACTTATTTCTTCCCTAGTTGGAATTTTTTCAGATTTCCAGTATGTAGCCAAAAGTATTCTGGCTGCTGTTATTATAAGTACAACTAATCGTACATCATCATGACTGAATATTTATTTGACGTTAAATCCCGAAACATATTTGTTAAATATAATACTCCCTGCATATTCCTGAGTGATTGCATCCTCTTCCAATGAACAGAAATGCAAGTTGTATTTCCTAAAGTATGAACACCTTTTGAAGTACTGTAGTGGTTATTTTTTTAAAACCCTGTGCTTAGATAATGTACTTGAACTCTGTTTGCTGAAGATCGGTATTCCACCTACCAATTTTTCTGCTCGCCTTTGGACTGTGTTCGTAAATGCACTGGTCGGCATATTTTTGCGCATTTGCCGCAATCTTAGCATTCCATTTCTGTAGGAGATAAAGATGCATTAATGGACTTGGACTTAGTTTCAGTAGAGGTGCGGGGGGGGGGGATGACTATGAGTGTGTCACATCCCTTGCAGAAGAGTGTGTCAATTGCAAGGCAATGATCATATCACTTTCATGAGATTTCTCCAAATGATCTTGCCGCCTTCTCTTTCATGGCTTGACGAGGGTTGCCAAACTCCAGGTGCTGGCTGGAAATCTCCTGGGATTACCACTGATCTCCAGATGACAGAGATCAGCTCCCCTGGAGAAAATGGCTGCTTTGGAAGGAGGACTCCATGGCACTGTACCCCACTGGAGTCCCTCCCCTTCCCTCCCCAAACCCTGCCCTCCTCAGGCTCCACCCCCAAATCTCCAGGTATTCCCTAACCCAGAGCTGGCAACCCTTCCTGAAACATTTCCCTCTTCCCTTTTTTGGGGGAAGGAGGTTAATAACATTACACCCAGCTTGGAGTTGAACTATTTTGTGGGGTTTCATTAGAATTGCCAGGTCCCCCTGATACACGGGGGATCCCGTGGTTTCCTTTGCTCCCCCCCTGTACTCCCCAGCTGGCCGGCAGGGGAGAATTAATACCTGGAATGTGATGTGCCTACGTCACTGAAGTTACATAGGCACATTGGTGATGTCGGGGGACAACACTCTGGTTTTTGGGCAAAACTCTATGGTAGAATTTGCCTCAAACCATAGAGTTTTGCCCTAAACTCAGAGTGTCGCCCCCCCCCCCAATGTCACTGATGTGCCTATGCCACTTTTGGGTGATGTAGGCACATCGCCCCCAACATCCCTGACATGTCTATGTCACCCGGAAGTGACCTAGGTATGGTGTGATTCTTCCCTCCTCTCTTCCGGAGTGTCCCAGTAAATCCCGTGCCGGGTTGTTCTTTGGACCTGGCAACCCTAAGTTTCGTGTAGAAATCTGGCTTTGGACCAATATGGCTACCTGCATCTTTTGGAAACTTAAGGGTTAATCCTTCTGCCTGTCCAGGCTCTAGCGGTGGGACCCCTGGGATAGTCCTCATTTTTTCAATGGAGCAGAGTGTATCTGGGGTCACCCCGTTGAAGGGTTCCTGGAGTGAGACTCCTCTGCTGCCATTTTGTAAATATTAGGGACTGTTTTGTGGAAAGGGGAGACCATGGGGGTGAAGGGTTCAGTTGAGGTGACCTGGAGGTAACATGGTATTTTCTCCACAGGAAACGATGGAGAGAAGGATGGCTGGGGGTGGGCACTCTCTTAAAATTGGGCCCCTTTATCCCATTCACTTGAAACATTGGGGTTCTTTAGTAGAGAGGGAAGATGAGAGTCCCTGAAGGCTTGGTGCCATTTGGTTTTTTAAAAAAAAATAAATAGCCGCTCGGGATAGTTGAGTTTATTTCCCCACAGGAAATAATAGGGTGAATATACCCAGTATTTCCAAAACAGTCCCAATATGTCAGAAAGATGAATTCTGGAGAGATCCCAAAATTTAGGGAGTGCCTTGTTTCATTTTGGGTTATTTCCAATCTCAAACGAAACAGGAAATTTCGGAAATTGTTTCAGATTCGAAATATTCGCTCGCCCGCCCCTCCTCCTGACACATGGGTGAAATACACCTGAACACTGACATTTCTGATAGGCTTACATAGATTCCTTTTAGCTTTTTAGAATGTGTTTACCATTTTCAGCATGTTTTTGCCACCCTCTTGTCTCCTGAGAGCATTGTGTTTGTCACAGATCTCATTCTGTTGCTCCACGTGGGTGGTCATCACATCGTCTAGCATCAAGGATCCCTGCAATCAAAGAGACTTGATACCTCCCACGACACTTCATTTTATGGCTTGCATTCAAATTTTTCAGCAGTTCCTCCTTCTCACTGCAGACCCCCACCCACCCATATAAGAACATAAGAGATGCCAATGTTGGATCAGGCCAAAGGCCAACACTCTGTATCACACAGTGGCCAGAAATACCAGGTGCCATCAGGAGGTCCACCAGTGGGGCCAGGACATTAGAAGCCCTCCCACTGTTGACCACATTGTGCCCAGTGCTATTCCTTGGGGAGCGTTCCCTGAACTCCGTGGACAGAACGGGGCCGGGGGGGGGGGATGATAGGGTGAAAATATCCCATTTGCCTGATATAGCCCAATATTACATTTATAGATCTGATAAATATTAGAGGAAAGGTATCACACACTGGAGAATACTTCGTCTCCCAGCAACATTCACATTTTGGAGATAATTCAAATCCGGCATTTAGATTTGGATGGGCTTCCAATGAATCCTATCCTAAACATCCTCTGAGGTCAGAAGTCCCAAGTTGTGGGAAGTCTACCGGAAAGGGCTTTCTTGACTTGTTCTCTTTGGCTGCGGTCACACGCACAAAATAATCCACTTTCTCATCAACATTTTATTGGTAGGATTAAAACAATAAAACAAATATAACAATAAAAATATACATAAAGGTCATAAGAACAGTTATACATTCAAACCAACACACTAATTACAAAAAAGTAAGCTTTAAAGAATGATACATTCTTCAATAAATCTTTGAACGAAGTAATTTATTTTCAATCCACTTTCCAACTGGATTTTGCCAATCCACACAGTGGATTATTTTGTATGTGTGACCACAGTGAACCAGAAACAGAGACCAAACAGGTCCAAAGAAATCTTGCAATGGTCTGTTTCCACTCCTGAGCAAGATTTCCTTGAAGAAAATAAGAGGGCCCACCAGTCTCCAAGAGATTTAAAAAATAAATAAATAAGGCCAAGACTGACGGGGCAAAGTACAGTAAATCCAATCCAATTACCTTTATTGACATGTAACACTTGCAGACTCATGTAAAACAAAAACACCGAAAGCAAAAAATAGTGCTTGCAAAAAGAACAGGTGTAAAAGGAGTTACCATGTAAATATACCAACAATCCACCACATCAACCAAACGCCTGGCGGAACAGGCCAAAAACACAATTATTGGGAACCCCAGCATTATGTTTTTATTTACTCAATTTTTACCCCACCTTCCGCCTCCATGGGAACCCAAAGTGGTTTATAGAGTTCCCCTCTCCCCTGTTTTATCCTCACAACAACCCTGCAAGATCTTTCTAGATTCCACAGGGCCTGTAAGACAGAGCTGTTCTGCCAGACTTTCCGTGGAGGACGGCCGAGGCCAGTTTTCTGCTTAGGGCTGCCAAATCCCCCCCGGGGGGGCGGAATTCCACCCGCTTTGGAGCCCCAATTTCCGCCCCTGCGGAATCGGGCCCCGGGGGAAACCCCACCCCCGCATGCACGTCACTTCCCTGTGTGACGTCATCACGCTGGGGCGGGGCACAGCCATTTGAGGGGAAAACATAGAGTTTTCCCCTCAAATGGCTGTGCCCCGCCCCAGCGTGATGATGTCACAGGGAAGGGACACGCGTGAGCACCGGGAGGCAACACAAAGTCCCCCGCCAGCACATTTGGCAACCCTATTTCTGCTGCCTATTAGCACTGCCGCCTGTTTATGACAGCATTCTGGGATGTTGTGTGCCAAATGACCACGTTCTAGTCTGATCCCTGAGCCAGGATACTATTTTACGGATTGCAATTTAATATTTTTGTCACTATGATGTTTTATCTCTATCCACAGATTGGTTTTCATGAACGTTGCAAGACGTTCTGAGCTCTGTGACCCAGGGACGGGGCGGGATACAAGATAAATAAATAAATGATAAATAAATAAATAAAAGCCCTATATGGCCAGGGGCCAGCCTACCTGAGGGACCGCCTTGCCCCATATGTTCCCCCAAGAGCACTACGGTCAGGGCCCCAAAATTTATTGGTCATCCCGGGCCCTAAGGATGCCAAACTAACTGTGACCAGGGCCAGGGCTTTTTCGGTGGTGGCTCCTACCTGGTGGAACGAGCTCCCGGGGGAGATCCGGGCCCTGCGGGACCTTGTGCAGTTCCGCAGGGCCTGCAAGACAGAGCTCTTCCACCAGGCTTTTGAGTAGGAGCCGCCCCCCCACTATACCACCACCGTCAAGACATCTTAATGGATGCATCGACGAGGCCTGAGGAAGAACTTAGAAAATACAGACGATCTGACAAGCCATCGCCACTGGATATGTACGCTACGGGAGTACCATCTGGAACTGCGGTGATACCATCTTGGGTCTCCCAGATCTTAGTCAGACACCCGGCCCTCATTTTGAGTGAGTAGGGAAGGAGGTGACTAGCACTTTAGGATTGGGGTAAAATACAGATGCTGCTCACTGGTTTCGCCCAATTCCAGCTTTAGAATATCACTTAGATCCAAATGTGCAAACTCCCTTACCTCCGCAGCATACTGGTGCAACTCGGTAGCCAGGCAGAGGCTCAAAACAAGGAGGATCATTTCTGTAAAGCAAAAGAATGTCTGTGACTTGAAGCCTTTGACATTTTTACTTGGGATAATGTTTCCCACAGGCTTCAGTACTGACTTAAGCAGTACTGTCTTAAGCAGAGCTATACTAGTTCAATAAAGGCCCCAATCACACAGGCCGGATATCGCAGGGGGGAGGCGTGGCTAATTGTCCTGGTGCAGTTTGATCCGCGATTACGCGATCAGACGCGCCGGTGGCACACCACGGGTCCTTCCCTCGGTGCCGGCGGGTAAACGAGGGACCGGAGGGGAATGCTGTGCGCCGGCGCGATCACACCACGGGAGTCTGGAGGCAGCTCGTGGCAAACATTTACTATTACCTTGGAGGTACTCGTTTTTTAACTCGCATTGTCGGCGGTAAGCCACGGGTGCGCTCCACTTCCCAGATGTTGGGGTGTGATCGCACCCGGATAATCCGCCCACCATCCGTGCCTCTCCCGCGGCAACTTTGCCCTGTGTCCGGGGCCTAAGTACATCGAAGGCAATGGTCTTAGAAGGATCTAACTGCGTACAATGACACTAGAGAGAAGGCAGCATGGTATAGCTTGTTCTCATCAGATCTTGGAAGCTAAGCTGTGTCAGTACTTGGATGGGAGACCACCAAGGAAAAGTCTGCAAAGGAAAGCAATGGCCAACTGCCTCTGCTTCTCACTTGCCTTGAAAGCTCCATGATGGGGTTGCCATAAGTCAGTACTTGAAAGGGAGACCACCAAGGATGGCTCTGCAGAGGAAAGCAATGGCCAACTGCCTCTGCTTCTCACTTGCCTTGAAAGCTCCATGATGGGGTTGCCATAAGTCAGTACTTGAAAGGGAGACCACCAAGGATGGCTCTGCAGAGGAAAGCAATGGCCAACCACCTCTGCTTCTCACTTGCCTAGAAAGCTCCTTGCTGGGGTGGCCATAAGCCAGTTGTGACTTGTTGGCACTTCACGTATGTACACAAACTAAGGAACGGAAGGGCATTGGAACAGCCCAGTCTCATCAGATCTCAGAAGCTGAGCAGGGTCAGTACTTGGAAGGGAGACCACCGAGGAAAACTCTGCAGGGGAAGGCCATGGCCAACCACGTCTGCTTCTCACTGGCCTTGACAGCCCCTGGCTGGGGTTGCCATAAGTCGGAACTTGGATGGGAGACCAGCAAGGAAGGCTCTGCAGGCAATGGCCAACCACCTCTACTTCTCACTTGCCTTGACAGCCCCCTTGCTGGGGTCACCATAAGTCAGTACTTGGATGGGAGACCAGCAAGGAAGGCTCTGCAGAGGAAGGCACTGGCCAACCACCTCTACTTCTCACTTACCGTGACAGTCCCCTTGCTGGGGTTGCCATAAGTCGGTACTTGGATGGGAGACCACCAAGGAAGGCTCTGCAGGCCATGGCCAACCACCTCTGCTTCTCATTTGCCTTGACAGCCCCCCTGCTGGGGTCGCCATAAGTTGGCTGCGACTTGCTGGCACAATATATACACACAATGATGCTGTTAAAGTGCAGTCTTGGAGTTGGAATGAACCTTAGAGGTCACTTAGTTCAACTCCCTCAATCCAGACAGGAAATCCATAGCCAGAACATTCCTGGTAGACGACTCTCCAGCCTCTGGTTGAAAACCTCCAGTGAGGGAGAACCCACTGCTCCCCCCTATGTGATTGGTTCCATCGTGGGACTGCTTTCCGTGTTAAGGAAGTTTCTCCTGATATTCAGTGGAAATGTACTTTCTTAAATTAAGCTTGGGAGGGAAGGTGTCATAGTGTAGCCCAACCTCGCCAGATCTCAGAAGCTAAGCATAATCGGTACTTGGATGGAGGTATGAGGTGAACTACCATGCTTGCCCCTCCTCAACGGGTAATGTGTAAAGTAACGGGCCTGGTTCGTCCTTACAGGTGTCATTAATTAAGGGTACTCTCCTAGCTGGAGCCTTATCAGCCCAAGGTCAAAGTTGTTAGCTTCTTCCCGTATGTTCCCCCAAGAGCACTACGATCGGGGAGCCTCCATCTCCTGGAAGTTCCAGGCCCCCGAGAGGTTAAGTTTTCCCCTACTAGGGCCAGGGCGTTTTCGGTGGCAGCTCCTACCTGGTGGAACAAGCTCCCAGAGGAGATCTGCGCCCTGCGTCCTGCAGTTCCGCAGGGCCTGTAAGATGGAGTTCTTCCGCCGCCGCCACTATCCCTTCATTGTCTGCCCCTATCATGGGGGGCAAGCATCGTCTGGCAGAAGTGCATAGAACAGCGCTGCTGAAGACCGCGCTATTGAGACAGCTGGCTGCCAAATTGGGTTCATTGTTTCCCATCTTGGGTGATTTACGTAGGAAGATCAGAGCACCTTGATTATTGTATGGGTTTTATTGTGGTTTTAATGTTGTTTATTCTATTGTATTTTATCTATTCAACTCGGCTTCGCCGCATGTTAGCCGCCCTGAGCCGCTGGGAAGGCGGGATACAAATCTAATAAATAAATAAATAAATAAATAAATAAATTCTTACGGGAACATCTTCTTAGAGTTGGGAGGGGGAACAGCTGGTGCGATGATGTAAGATGAGGCAGGCAGGCCTCACTGTAGTCATGTGACCCGGTCATGTGACCCAGCTACCCTGGGTCACATGACGCCAGGACATGACTGGCCTGCCTGCCTCATCCGCCTGCTCACTCGGCCTGGGAGAGATTGAGCCAGAGCCGGTGTGACTAATACTTGGGAAATATGCTCTCTGTGCTACAGTAGTGGCGGGCCTCACCCACTCACTACTGTAACAGAGAGTGCATACTCGCCAAGTATTAATCGCACCGGCCAGCCACCTCTCCTTCTCCTGCAGCAAGATCGGTGAATGAGTGCTGCTAGCAGGTAAGGACATGCGCAGCATAGCAGGAATTGTGGGGCACGGGCAACGAGTGAGGGGGCACTGCCCCTAAATGCCCCACTGTGGCTACGGGCCTGGATTCCACACAGGCACAGGTTGCATTCAGTCTCACCAGACGGGTTCACATGCATGAGTTTTTCTATGTTAGCCTGTTGCTGTCCTTGAGATTCTTAGCAAAACTGCCGTGAAAGTGATGTGGCTTGAAAAACGAAACTTGAAAAGCTTTCTGGGTGCATGCACACAATTCTTATGACTCTTTGTAGGGTTGCCAGGTCTTACCACCATTCCAGCGGGGGAGTCCCGGTCCCTCTCTGGGCCATCATTGGCACATGCGCAAAGCACACGCATCATGCTGACTTCACCCAGAAGTGACATCATTGCCTTGGGCATGTTGGGGCGGGCCCACTATCATTCGAGGGGGAACCATAGAGTTTTCCCTCAAATGATACAGTGTCCCTGCCCCGCAACGTGCCTGGCGTGATGATGTCGCCTCTGGGTGATGTCATTGCACTGGGCATGTCCCCGTGATCCTGGCACTTTGGGGGTGGGGTTCCCCCCGGTGGCTGGATCCGGGCTGGCGGGTAAGGGGCCCGTCGAGCGGGCAAACCCCTGTCCCCCCCAGGGGACCTAGCAAACCCTAACTCCTTGGCCATTGTGAAAATTTAGGTGAATGTTGTGAATTACATGAGCAAAGGAACCCATGAATGTCTCCTTCTTATTTGGAAATATCAGCCCATGAATGATTTTTGTTTATCTGGAAGTATCATAAACCCATGAATGCTTTCTGTTTATCATCAACCGATGAATGCTTCCTGTTTATCTGGAAGTATCATCAGCCCATAGATGCCTCCTGTTTATCTGGAAGTATCATCAATAATTTGGAGCTGCGGTGTCTCAAGTGGTTAAGACGCTGAACTGCAGGCTGTGGAAGGTCAGTAGTTCAGCAGTTCGAGACCCGGGTGCCACATGACGGAGTGAGCTCCCGTCTCTAGTTCCAGCTCCTGCCAACCTAGCAGTTCGAAAGCAGGAAATTGCAAGTAGATAAATAGGTACCACTTTGGTGGGAAGGTAACAGCGTTCTGTGCGCCTTGGTGTTTAGTCATGCCGGCCACATTACCACGGAAACGTCTTCAGACAGCGCTGGCTCTTCGGCTTGGAAACGGAGATGAGCACCGCAACCCTAGAGTCGGATTCGACTGGGTTTCGAGCAAGGGAACCTTTACCTTTACTATCATCAATAAAGTGGGGACCTATTATTGAAGTTTGTTATATCCCTCCTTTACATACTTAGCTGTGTGTTGCAGAGGGGGAGCCCTGTTAGTCTCCTGAAGCAAAATAAAACAAAAGTCCAGCAGTACCTTAAACACCAACAACATTTATTTTGAGTTTTCATGAGTCAGAACTCTGTTCAAGTGACCTCTGACTCACAAGGGCTCATACTGAAATAAATGTGGCCAGGCTTTTGTTTTAATATACTTACCTCTTGTCTAATATACTTACCTGGCATGAGCAAATGGTTGTCTGAAAAAACACCTGTTCCCTAGCTTGTTTCTGGTACAATCCAGAAACACACAGACCGCTTTCCCACAAGCGCTGCTCTGCGCTCACTCTTCCCTTTTGCCCCGATGGTACATGTCAATTTCACACAGGGTGCTGTGCGGCCACATTTTGCCCCGCAGCTTCACGCGATTCCCCCCACGTCTACTCAATCCTCAAAAAACAGGCGTGGAGCAGCGCTTGTGGGAAATCGGTCACAGAGAAAGCAACTGTGAGTGCATCAATCGCTATTCCATGATTTAATATTTTGCAAATAATTCCCATAATGGCTAAATTTTGATTTGGGGAACATGACAACCCTCTGGGGGAATTGTGCTTTTTATGTGATACGGCCCTCAAAGAATTTCTGGTGAGTTAGCTGTGATACAGCTGCAGTGCGTGTTCTGTTTGCGTGGTCCCCACAATCTGAACCCAATCTCTCGGTCTAATGCTCTTTCATGTATTCCATCTATTAATGTACATTAACTGTTCAAAGGAAAGCATTCATTCATTCATTCATTCTTTCATGATTTCATTTTAGGCACTTTTGAATGACAATCCCATTTTGCCCCCCTAACAATTATCTCGGATCCTCTGGGTTCCACCCTGTTTCATGAATTTAGGTTTAGTTCAGCAGTTCGAGACCCGGGTGTGCCGCATGACGGACTGAGCTCCCGTCTCTAGTTCCAGCTCCTGCCAACCTAGCAGTTCGAAAGCAAGAACTTGCAAGTGGATAAATAGGTACCACTTCGGGGGGAAGGTAACAGCGTTCCGTGTGCCTTGGTTGTTTAGTCATGCCGGCCAAATGACCACGGAAACGTCTTCGGACAGCGCTGGCTCTTCGGCTTTGAAACGGAGATGAGCACCGCAACCCTAGAGTCGGACTCGACTGGCTTTCGAGCAAGGGAACCTTTACCTTTAATTCGATAGTATTCGTCGGTCAGCTAAGCGTGCATTCAGAAGTACTGGCTTTCCTCAGCGCTGTAGAATCCTCTCCAAGATGAACACAAAACCCAAACAAACCCAAACCGGTTAAGTCTTTGGGATGAACCCTGAATTTTTAAATGAAAGGTTTTAAAAGTATTTACGTTGCATTCATACGGGATTCAGTGTGGGCATCCGGAATTCTGGCATTTCGGAGAATGTGGATAGTGGCTCCGTCCTTGGTATTGTCCTCGTCCCACTCCCCCATCTCGATGTTCGAACTCTTCTGTTTTGTCTGGCGGCTGATCTTCCATCCCTTCCGCACTGTCGTTTGTCCCTGTTGCTTCAAAGTTTCCCGTCCCCAATTTGTTTTGCTCTCCCTAGTCGTCCCAGAGGAAGCAAAACAGATGTGGAAAGGGGTGGGGAAGACCCAAAGCAATATGGAAAAACGAGTGACAAACGTGAAAGTGCGGAAGTGGCAGGGAGGTATCAAGTATCGTATAGACCCTCTTGTCCCATACTACAGTACCGCTATTTAGAATGTACCAATTGTAAAAGGAATTAGGACTCTTGACGTAAAACTAGACCCGTTTAAGATGTCCTACACTCGAGCAAGTTCTGACTTGCTTAACCAAGTGCATCTCTGGAATGACTTTCCCAAAGAAGAATACGTGAATCTTACCTCTCTGTTTCCAGTAAGGTCAGTAAGAATGATCTTGATCCTGATGCTGTTTCCTTTGAAAGGGAATAGATTCCTTAGCTTCACTGAAGCATGATATATATACCTCCGTGGCTTCCTGCTTTGCCAGGTGACTCAGGGATGCAAATTCTGTTGGGGTAGGATGAAGGATTTGTTCTGCAGGTGCCCCCCCCCCACACCATCCAGTGTGAAAGACATCTATTTACACTGTGTATTATTTCCTGGTACCTTAGGGCTCCGCTGCTCTAAGAAAAATGCCTGAAGGTGACGCAAGGTCCTCAGGAGCCTGTTTATCTACTGCAAAAAGAAACTGAGAGAAGACATTGGTGGGGTTTCCAAAACAATGGGCTGGATAGTGACAACATTTGTCTGAAGTGGGGATGTGGACCTCCTGGCAGGGCCTGGGTATCCCTTGTAATGACAGCTCATCTCCAGAGAACAGAAATCGGTTCCCCTGCATAAAATGGATGCTTTGGAGGGTGGACTGGCTTTTAGTTAGTTTTAGTTTTTAAACATCATATGCAATGCATGTTTAAAGAAATAGTTATGGGGAAATAAATATATTCGTTATATCATTGTTAGATATTTTATTTATTTATTTATTGGATTTCTACCCTGCCCTTCCTGCGGAAGCAGGCTCAGAGCAGCTTACATAACTAACCGCCCCCCCCCCCCAGAATAGAAACATAGAACAAACATAGAACAAATTCTAAAGTGCTGTACCTCGATGTTGCATATCAGGCAGCGAACAGCAGTCTCCGAATGTTATCTTTCATGGGTGTCAGTCAATAGTAATAATAACCGATGGTATAGAAATTCCGGGGTAAGGCTCTGCTTTTAAGTTAAGAGGTGACATGTGTCTCTCACACGAATGCCTGGTGGAAGAGCTCTGTCTTGCAGGCCCTGCGGAATCATAATAAATTCCACAGGACCCTGATGTCCTTGGGGAGCTCGTTTCACCAGCGTGGAGCTGCCACCGAAAAGGCCCTAGCCCTGGTGGTGGCCAGTCTGGCCTCTTTAGGACCAGGGACAGTCAGGAGATTTTGTGTCCCTGAACGCAGTGCTCTCTGGGGTACATGTGGGGAAAGGCCTCAGATATGCTGGCCCCGACCATGTAGGGCTTTCATAGGTAAGAACAAGCACTGTGAAGCGAATTCGGTATGCTATAGGCAGCCAGTGCTTTACACAATTATATACAGCTTGCCCAGGCAGGAAGGCAGTATAGTATACCCCGTTCTCATATGATCTCGGAAGCTAAGCAGAGTCGGTACTTGATCAGTTACTTTGAAAGCCCCTTGCTGGGGTTGTCATAAGTCAGATGTGACTTGACGGCACTTTACATTTACACACAGTTTGTCCCCCCCAGCAGAGATTTCTATCATTCCAAGCTTTCTTCATTGGAGTGCTGACCTTGAACCTGTGTTCAAATGTCATGGGAAAGACTAGCTCCAAATCCAAGAGATTAACCTGGTGTCTGTTATGCTGAGAATAGGTTTGTGGTTTGGCATGGAGGGCTATTGACAAATACCATTCCTTGATCTAACTCCCCCCCCCCCCCCCGACATGTTGCCCTCTTTGCAAGAAAATTGCCTGCTGACTGGCTGCAGCGAAATGCTACTGAATTGTTTTTGTTCCCAAGTCCCATACGATACCCTTGTATTCAATTAGTGTGCCTTTTTAAAAGTCTCCAAAATGAACTTACCTCTTCCAGATTATAAAAGACACATTTGCATTTTTACAGTGTTCTTTTACAGTTTTCTACAGTCTTCGTTTCTCTTCCGGTTTTTAAGCTTTTTGCTGTTTTTCATAGCCTTTTTACAGTTTTATCCTTTTTGTTTCAAAATTGTTACACTTTTTAACCTAAGAATGTAAGAGAAGCCATGTTGGATTGGGCCAATGGCCCGTGTAGTCCAACACTCTGTGCCACACAGTGGCCAAAACCCAGGTGCCACCAGGTGGTCCACCAGCATGGCCAGAACTCCAGAAGCCCTTCCACTGTTACCCCACCCCAAGCACCAAGAACCTAAGAGAAGCCATGTTGGATCTGCCAATGGCCCATCTGGTCCAACACTCTTTGTCACACAGTGGCCAAAATCCAGGTGCCACTAGGTGGTCCACCAGCGGGGCCAGAAGCCCTCCCACTGTTGCCCCCCCAGGCACCAAGAAGACAGAGCACCGCTGCCCAAGACACAGTGCTCCATCTATACCTTGTGGACAATGGCCATTCATGGACCTCTGCTCCATATGTTGATCCAATCCCCTCTTGAAGCTGCCTGTGCTTGTATCCGCCACCACTTCCTGTAGCGGTGAATTCCAGCTGTTAATTACTCTTTGGGTGAAGAAGTCTAGCTGTCCTACCACCACAGGTACAGCACAGCTGTCCAGATGTAGTGCAGTGAAGAAGCTCCACTCCAGAGAGAGAGCACGGCACCTGAAAATGGTGTGTTCCTGCCGAACACGCTTGCTCGAACATTCACAGTATTTCTGTTTCTGATTAATCTGAAGGCCCGAACCTTGGCGAACCTGATTAACATGCGCACTCATGTTTCAAAGGGTTCACTAAGACATGAGGAAGGAGTGGGGGGAGAGGAGGAGTGAACTATGTTTGTACTGATTCCTCACTCGGCTAGGCAATGGCAGCACCCCCGTGGGATTAACATCCTGCGCAGCAAACATCCAAGGGGAAATGTGCCTGTTCCTTTCTTAATCTCTTCTTCCTTTCCCCCTGAATACTGTGAAATCTTCAACCAGGGGGTGCCCAATATGGTGCCCGTGTGTGCTACGGTGCCTGCTGACACCTTTTCTGGCACCCGGCAAGTGTTTCTAGGAAGTGGGTGGAGCCAGGTAGGGCTTTTGCCCAGAAAGGCTTGCGATTGACTATTGGAGATTTATTATGTGTTGTAGATTTTCCGGGCTGTATGGCCATGGTCTTGGCACTGTAGAACCTGACGTTTTGCCAGTAGCTGTGACTGGCATCTTCAGAGGTATAACACAGAAAGATGGAGTACTCTCTGTGTCAAGGTGAGAAGAAAAATGGTAGGTAGGTAATTTATATCTACTCAGGAAGGTGGGGTAGGGCTGAGTCATTCTCTTGTAGGAGTCCCCCAGGCTGTGAATATGCTAATGGAGAAGAATGGTAGGCAGGTAATTTATATCTACTCAGGAAAGTGGGGTAGGGCTGAGTCATTATCTTTTAGGAGTTCCCCAGGCTGTGAACATGCTAATGGAGAAAAATGGTAGGCAGGCAATTTATATCTACTCAGGAAGGTGGGGTAGGGCTGAGTCATTATCTTGTAGGAGTCCCCCAGGCTGTGAATATGCTAATGGAGAAGAATGGTAGGCAGGTAATTTATATCTACTCAGGAAAGTGGGGTATGGCTGAGTCATTATCTTTTAGGAGTTCCCCAGGCTGTGAACATGCTAATGGAGAATAATGGTAGGCAGGCAATTTATATCTACTCAGGAAGGTGGGGTAGGGCTGAGTCATTATCTTGTAGGAGTAAATGTACTCCAGCTGTGAAAGCCGAGAAGGACTTAGACAACATATTGGAGATTTAATTGGGTGTGCAGATTTTTTTTTTAAAAAAACATTGCTTTGGAAACAGCTGCCAACACAGCACAAGGATCTACACTGTGTGACTGAATATAAGCAGTGGTGGCCATTTTGTGCTGGGTTCGCTCCCTGTAGGAGCCAGTTTTTTTGCTGAGCCCACTGTGCTAAGGCAGAATTCCAAATGTACTTGCAGGCTCAAAAAGGTTGTGGATCCCTGTCTTGAGACATCGGAAATTGGGAGAAACCGGGATGTTAATTAAAACTTAAAGATGTTGATTTCTAAAATTCAGTTTTGTCATAAAATTGGCGAAAACGGATCTTTCATTTTGCTCTTCGATAAGTTAATATCAGAAAGCACAGCCCTGTCCCTAGTTGGCCTCAGTTTTTAAAGAACATCTTGACACACCAATTCTTTATTGTCAATATAGCTTCCCCCTGACTGAAAGGGTTTAATCAGGGAGAGAGAGTTTGATTGACAAAATGAATACGATTCTCCAATTTAAGTGCAGCCAAGAAAAGATCTGTCTTTTCAGCGATGGCCAAACAATGACTGCATTTTGCCGCATGACCTCTAGGAAATGAAGCGACATGGTGAAGCAAATAGCAGATTTAGCAATGCTCCTTTCCCCCTCCATGCAAAGATAATATTGAACTAAGAACTGTGGAAAAGTCCAGAGCCTTAACTTCCTCTGCTAATTTATTCAGCTGTCAATACAAGCAGCTTGATTGATTAGAGTTATTTATACAAAGCACTAGATTTTGGGGTCAGTTGATTGCTCAATTTGCCATTTACACAGATTTCCCAAGGTCTGAGCAGAACGTTAATAATTGTGTATCGTTATTGTTGAACTGTATTATTGCTTCTATTTATTACTTCTATTGCTTCTATTTATTATTTCTATTGAGAGCCAGTTTGGTGTAGTGGTTAAGTGTGCGGACTTGAATCTGGGAGAACCAGGTTTGATTCCCCACTCCTCCACTTGCAGCTGCTGGATGACCTTGGGCAAGCCAGAGT